AGTGTTCACACTAATTGAGATCGCAGAGTTGTACCCAGCTCGGTGTAGCTAATCACAGAACTAATGCTAAATGAGATGCAGTGGAATTCTAAGTGAACCTGGTCCTGTGCCTACGTGGGGGCTCTCCTGGGCAAATGGGGAGGCCTCACAAGGAGTCCCAGTGGCTGTTTCACTCCGTGCACCCCGTCCCGGGACTGGATTAAAAACAAATGCTGTCGGTGGCAGGGAGCAGGGAGCTGTCAGGTGGGGTCGGGTCAGACTTGCCCCCATGTGTTCAGTTTGGGAAAAGAAAAAGCTCTCTCCTTCCAAGTTCCAGTGTTGACTGAGTTCTGTTGCCACATAACAAGTGTCAAAACCGCTCATAAGTAACACTTCCTATTCATAATCCACTTTAAAAAAATATTTTCTTGGCCCCCCTGGTGGCGCAGCGGGTTAAAGCACAACACAAAGAAGCTTAAACCACTTCCACATGAGTTCGATTCCCGCCTGCCCCGGAGGTGACCACATGGCGCGGCAGACCTCTCCTGACCCGCCCGCTGCTCCCCTCAGCAGTGTACTTCGTTGATCTGCCTGTTCTGCTCCCCGCTCTGTCTCTGGTGAATCCTCTCGCCCTTCGCATCTCTGGCCTGTACCCCAGTTCTGTATGAATAAATAAATCTTTAAAAAAAAATATTTTCTTCACTGTAGAAACTGATGGGAGATGTTCGTACAAAGGTAAAACAATAGGGATTAGTCAAAAAGAGTAAAAGAAACTTGTGAAATTTTAATCCATCTCTTTAATGTTACATGAAATTGACCCCTTTTCCGGCAAAAAGTCAAATTTTCTCCTATGGATTCAAATTTAGAGAAGCAAGTCTTTTTTACATCCCTTGGACCTGCCTGAGAGGAGAGGGCCGCACTGCTGGGGACGTCATCATGACAAGATAGTCAATGACTGACCTTGGTGACCCAGATCTTGGCGACTAAGGTTTTCAGCACATTGCGGCAGTCCCTCCATGTCAAGTCCTTACACCAGGTCCTTTCCCGATACTGACATTTATGCTCCATGATCATTGAAAGAGGGAAGGAAGAATCATGGGATATTTTTACTTCAAATGATTACTGAAAGAACAAACATTCATTGAATTTTGATCTAGACAAGACCTCCAACTCATGTGCAAAGCCACCTCCACATGCTTGTGCAGATTTTTGTAAGGAAACTGATAGCTCAGTGTGGAGATTAATCACAACGAATGGCCAACGCTCCTAAGATATGACTGCATCTAGAAAATTGTCACATTAAAAAATATTCCCGCTAGGGCCCTCCCTGGTGGCGCAGTGGGTTCAAGCACAGCACTAAGAAGTTAAAGCCACTTCAGCATGAGTTTGATCCCCGCCCGGGATGATCCATATGACATGGCAGACCTCTCCTGACCCGCCCACTGCTCCCTTCAGCAGTGCAGTTCGTCCATCTGCCTGTTCTGCTCCCCACTCTGTCTCTGGTGAATCCTCTCACCACCCCTGTACCTCTGCTTGTACCCCAACTCTGTATGCATAAATAAATAAATATTAAAAAATTTTCTCGCCAAAAGAGCTCATGGGACAATGGCGACGGCACTTGGGTGAATTGGTAATGGGAAGTCCACAGGGATTATAACCGAGATGAAAAAATGTACAAAATGAAGAATGATGTAAATACAAAGGGGCCTCAAGAAACTTAATCAGATTTATGAAAACCCTTGCTGTTTAGCTTTTCCCTAGGCAGCAAAATTGTCCTTTGTATAGAATACCCATCAAGGTTGTAAGAGTGTGGATCACTATAAAGCACTCTTGGTTGGTGTAGCCACTATGAACTGAATCTCCTTGTATAAATATGTACAAATATATTTGCAGCTACTAGGACAGTGACTAATCCTTTTTATTTTTGGAAGTACTGATGGTCTTCCGTCACAGATAAATAGCCACTATTTTCACATCAGATGTATGGACCTCTTTGTGCGATAAGATATTCCCTTTATAGAGAGGAAATAGCGCCCCCTAGTGAGACAATGCTTCTCAAACATGCCTTCAACCCTGTTTTTCATCTGCTTTTGTTGCAGAGAATTTCATTAACAGAGTGACTGAATTTGAAAGGAAGAGACTCAAGATCTAAAGCATATGAGCTTTGAAAGGGCCAACAAAATTATTTGGTTAAAAATAAGAAAAAACCTATAGGCTCTAATTCTTTTTTTAATTTCCAAATTGAAGCTGACATTTGATTAAATGTATATGAAATGTGATGTATAAACTAGTTAAAAGCAATTTAACTACTAGTTATAAAATTATACTTAATAGGGGTAGTGGGCTTATTTTAATATAGCCTATTGTAAGGGACAAAGTCTATTAAATAAGAGTTAAATGCCTATTTTCCATAGAGTTGTAAACCAAAATACATTCTGCTTGGTTACTGTTCACACATATACTCATTCAACTCATTAAAACTTACAATAGTAAATTAAGAAGAATGTATTTAAATGTTTAGATAGGTAGCTGTTCTTTTCCTTTTTTTCCCCCAAGGTGTAAAATATTACAGATTCTGAAGGAAAATGTTTTAAAATTACCATAAAAATAGGTAACAAGAACTCAAAGGAAAAAAAAAACTAGTTATTACAAAGGGCAGCTTTAGACCTTTAATGGAAACAATGCAAACATATAGTTCCATAATCAGATACACTGAATACTTGACCTGGGACAAGGTACTTAACAAACTTTCTGTGCTTCAATATCCTCAGCTGTAACATGGAGATTAAGAGTACTTACTTCACAGGTTTGTTTAAATGAGTGCATGTATGTGCAACACTTTGAATAGTGTTAGGTACACAGCAAGAGTTCAACAAATACTAGCAATTAAAATTACTCAACCAAACCATATTAATTTTTGACTCTCAAAAGTAGAACACTTTGAGATTGGGACAAATTAACTTCCACAAAAAACTGCAAATATTCACAAAACTGGTCACTCATCTACAATTTGAAACTTTTTTGGGGAAATAGATTCAAATAAGTTCAAACTTAGAAAAAGTTACAGAAATAAAAATAGCAGAAGGAACAGTATACTCTAAATTTGCTTATTGTTAACACTTCATTCATTTCCTTTGTCATTTGCACTGCAAATCAATGTCCTACTTAATATCCATAATTTATGATTTATTCATTTTCTACTTCTGAGTAACAAATTACCATTAGTAGCTTAAAATAACACCTATTTATAAGATCACAGTTCTATAAGTTGGAAATATAGACACAGTGTGACTGAGTTTTCTGCAAGGGCTTACAAGGTGGAAATCAAGGTATCAACCAGGCTGGGCTCCTTTCTGGAGATTCTGGGAAGAATTCCAACCTTAGTCATGTTGTTGACTAAATTAATTTCCTTGCCACTATAGGAGAGAAGTTTCACTATCAAACATGAGTCATTCTCAGCCCCCACATATTACCCACCTTCCTTGCAACAAGCCTCCATACATCTCTAAAGCCAGCTATGGAGAATCTCCCCCAGAGCACATCCTTCTCATGCTTTGAATCTTCTTCCAAAGAAAAAAAGTCTAGATCTCACCCAATTATGTCAGGTCCGCCCAGAATAATCTCTTTTTAAATCAACTGACTTGGGACCTTAATTTGATCTGCAAAATTTCTTTATAGTAGCAGCTGTGTTGAATAACTGGATGAGGATGTGTTGACACCAGGGGTTGGAAATTTGGGGAGCATCTCAGAATTTCACCTAGCACCTCTAAGATACTTTGTAAGTCTATGTGTTATTCTGCTAGAGCTGCCATAGCAAAATACCATGAAGTGGGTGGCTTAAAGACAAATGTACATCTCTTTACATTTCTGAAGCTGTAAATCCAAGATCAATGGCTTTTTTCCCTCTGTGTACACACACACCTGGTGTTTCTTCTTCTTATAAAGACAACAGTTCTATTAGGACAATGACATATGAAAATTAGGGGTGGGGTGGGCAGGACACAGTTCAGTTCATTATGGCCCAAAAACAAAACAAAGAGCTCAGAGTTGAACAACAAGGAAGGTAGAATGCTAACCACTTTTTGCAGGCTGTCACTTAACAGAGGCCACTAGATTAGATAACATTAAAGCCATTATTAAAACTCCATTTTTGTCAAAATTTTTCCTATATCCTTGACTAGCTTTCTGTTGTGAGCTGATTCCTAGAGCGATATGTCTGTACTATGTTCCTCAAGCTGCATTCTGAGGATAGTTTCATTCACCATTAAGTTTTATCAAACACCAATGACCGATGAGCTTGCTACAGAAACACAAGGAGCAGTAATCAAATTCCTGCTCTCAGTGGATATGGTTAATAGGAAAGATACATTGCGTGTGTGTTCAATGCACACCTTTACGCAATGTACTTTAGATTGAATACTCTGTAAAACCACCTGGGATTTGAGGCTGGGACATAACCATAACATAAAAGCACTACACCTGGCGCCTCAAATCCTACCTACTCTGCTCAAGAAAAAAAAATCCTTTATTTCTTCGTTGTTCATCACGTGCACTTTTTATGATACTAAAACTGAAATTTTAATTTTTGGAGGCAAAGGAGACATTTGTTGCAGATGTTGAAGGAACTCTATAGAGTTGCAAGACCGAGTTGCTTCTCAGGTGCCCGAGAGTATCATGATTGCACCCTAGCAAGAAGCCCCTTTTACCAGCCTAGTTGCACCCCTCCCTCCGCGCTCCCCACTTTCCCAGTTCTCAGTCTCCCCGGTGACCCGTGGGCTTAGTGTTTATTGTGTGCCCTATCTTGGCTCATCAACTCATGCGCAAGGTCTGCAGGAGCACGACTGAGCCCGGGGTTAAGGCTCTCACACACCCCACACCCGTGACCAGCCCGGGCCCCGCCCTGCCACGTGTGACCAGCCTGATAATTGGCTTCAGTGCCCAGCGCACCCTCTCAGGCTTCACAGCGACTCAAGTTGACCAAGCAAGCGCTTACAGGTTTACCTGCTCCACACCCCCAATAGATGACTGTCCCCATGAAGGAGGAGGAGGCATACCTGGAGCTCTACCTGGACCAGTGTACTGCCCAGGTGAGCCTAGAAGTCAAAGCCAAAAGCACAGTCAGGGCATGCATCCCAGTACCCCACCCACTGCTGAGCACAAGGGCCTATTTGCTGCAGGCTTTGTCTTCCTTATCTCTTGCATGGCTCTTAGTTAAGAGATGGGTCTGACCAGCCCTGCCTTTCAGTTGAAATAGAAGCATCGAAAAGTGCAATAGCAGGCCCAAAGTTACTAACCTGAACTAAAGGCTGGGCTATATGAATCCGGAGCCATATACTCAGTCATCAAATTGGATATCCCCATCCCAGTTCCAAAGACACGCTGAAAAGTTTGCCATTGTGTTTCCTGTAGCGGCTTCCTGTGTCAGGGCACCTTTGCTTTGCTGTGCAGTGGTGGTTTGTACTATCAAGGGGTGGAAGCCTTAAGACACTCTCCTGCTCTCCGGTGGCTACAGGTGCAACTGGAGATCACCTGGCGGGGGTGGGGGGGTGGGCGTGGGGGTAAAATGTGAATTGGAGACACCTGTGACTTCTTTGGATTTGTAATTCTTTTTTAAAAAAATTTTGTTTGTGCATACAAGAGCTGGAATGTAGGCCAGAGGTGTAGGGGAGGAGGGTGTGAGAGGATTCACCAGAGACAAATGAGGAGCAGAACAGGCAGATCTACTGAAATACACTGCTGAGGGGAGCAGCAGGTGGGAAAGAGTCTGCTGCGCCATGTGGGTTGACTCCCTGGCCCAGGTGCTATAGTGGCTGCAGATAGCATGGTAGTGCTGAGACTTAACCCTTTGTGTCACTAGGGAGGCCCCTTGATTTATAATTCTTAAGGGTTTTTTTTTTTTTTTGTAAGTTTGAGTCAAGTGTTTCAGAAAACAGAAAGGAGTATTTAAAAATAAAAACAAGAGAACATTCGTGAGGGGGGTGATTTAAATAGTAGTAGTGACCCCCACATTGTTTAAGTAGCAAAAACAGCCCAGCAGGAAAGGTCCTGGGAAACAGGAGTTGACAGCCAGACAGAGGGTGTGACAGCACATTTCTTTATAAAAGGCCAAGGACGCAGTAAGTCCAGTGTAAGCGCCTCCTGCCAACTGTGTCCTGGCTGGTGAACTCAAAGGGCCTGTCAGGGCTGCTGTCATAAGACAGGTCCTTCAAAAGCTTGTTATTCCTTAAAGGTGAGAGCTTTGTCCCCGCTAAGTGCCATGATGGGAAGAAGGAGCTATCATGCAGGTGTTTGTGCTTTTAGTGTCCCCTGGCTGGTGGGATCCTCCCACCTAGGACAGAAGAGGGAAAGGAAACAATTGAGAGGGATCAGTGCTCACAGTCCCCACCTCACTTCTCTTAGGGTCAGTCTGTGGGAAGAGGGTAGAGAGAGCTGAGAGCTAATGAGTTAATTCAAAATGAAAGAAGGTCCAAAATCTTAAGCGAATAACTGCATTCTCCACGTGTTTTCTTTGAATAGTTAGTCGCTCCTGCCCTCCGCTGGACACTGGCAGTAGAACAAGTCAATAGGATGAAGCCAGGCATTTTACCTGAACTAAGTAAGGTAGCGTGGCCACAGACAGGACTCATTACCAGACATTTGTGACTATTCAATTAGAAGTAAGGTCTTCTAAGGGCTGAACAGTGCTCAAGATCTAGAATCTAGGCCTGCAACTTGGGCAAATCAGGTGGTAAGATATGTGCCAAAGTAATTGATTTTTTTTCTGTAACAAAACTCATGAATTTTACATTAGCTGCTTCCCTCAATTTCATTCCTCATTCCCTGGGCTGATGGTAATGGGAGCTGAGCAACCTTCCCAGGACTGGAAATACAATACATTGATTTAAACTATTCTTGCCACTTAAATTTCAATAACTTTTTTCTCTCGTAAATTCATATAACTAGAATTTTTTTTAATCTCTCCTTTGACTAGAAGGAACAAGAGGAATGATGGGTCTTTAGTGACATTTTGATTAGCACTCAAGACTGAATCTTAAGGTTTACTTATTCTTTAAAAAAGTAATCAAAAATTCTCAAATCTTTAAATCAACCAAAGTTTATAATCAACTGAGGGAGCACAGAAAATCTATTCTCTTCAAAACACACACAATTTAAAGCCTGGTTGCACAATTGCTTCTATTATAAAATTGGGCCTAGAGAGTAGCAATTTACTATGGGAGCTGACTAAAGTAGGAAAAACATTTTATAAAAAATACTATTTTTGCACTTTAAGCTATACCTGCCTGTTTCTATTACTATGCTATAACCCCATATTAGAACTTGAGTGATATTTTGTGGAAAGAAGAGTTTGGACCTAAACTATCTTGAACTGGGTCTCCTTGGTGGTACAGATGGTTATGTCTCAGTGCTATAAAGCTATCAGCAGCCACTACTGCATGAGTTTGATCCCCAGCCAGGGAGGTGACCCACATGGCACAGCAGACTCTTCAATCCTACCTGCTGTTCCCTCAGCAGTGTATTTCAGTACATCCACCTGTTCTGGTCCCCTCTCTGTCTCTGGTGAATCCTCACACCCTTACTACCCACCCCCAAGAGACACACACACACACACACACACACACACACACTCTGGTCTGTACCCCAGCTCTTATATGCATAAATGAATTTTTTTTTAAAGTTTAAAAAATAAAATTATCTTGAATTGTTACTCCCATTGACCACATCACCTGCCTGCCATGGCAGCTTCCTTTTGGTTTGACATGCTATTCTATTTGTTTTGTTTTCTGTTGGTTTTGGGACAACCTAGGATGACCTCAACCCACTGGGGTCACCCCTGCTCAACCCTTACGACGTGTACATACCGAACCCATTCAACCCAGAGACTGTATTTACTTCACATCTTGAAGTTCAACGAACACCAGGCGAATTTTCTCCTGTGGATTTTAGCTTCCTACCAGATGAACTGGAAAATAAAGACCAGACTGTCACTAGAAGTGAGAGTGAACTTGAAGAAAATTGTAAATCTCAAAGTCATCCAAGTGGGGAGTCCTTATCCAGTGAACAGGATGTCAGTTTGGGCTTAAATAGTAACAATCTGTCAAATTCCCTTACACAACTGCACCAGGGTCACACCAACTCAATGGAAGTCTCTCCTGAGAAACCAAACACTTTGCCTCTGACATCCATAACTCCCATGACACCAGTGACCCCTGTTTCAGAATGTTCTGGAATTGTGCCTCAACTACAGTAAGCTAAGATATTCTGCTGTGTTTTCTTTTTAAATGGTTAATGCTTATGGGTATACATTTTATATCCCTGTGTGAGATAACAGTTTTCAGGGTATAATTGATGATATAGGGAAGAGAATTTCAGATTTCATAATTTTTGTCTATTTTATCAGTTCTTAATGAATTATGACTTGAGTCAGTTTGGTTATTTGTAAAATGAAGCACTGATTCTTGATCTCTACAGATGGGGTTAAGAGTAAGTATATAAATATATAAAGAGTAAGTACACACACCTTTGAGCATTGTATTGTTTATACTAAAACAGTAACTGCTAAAAATTGCAGTGGGGGTTGGAGACAAAGAATATAGAGATAGAAAACAGACATCGATTTGCAAATTGATTTGGAATTGTGCTTTCTATTTTAGCCATAGTTTTAAAAGTTCTAAAACATAATTTTGGCTAGTCACAATTTTAGAAACTTATTTTAATATTCCACTTTTGGGTTTTTACAAGGGATCATTTCTTATGTTTTCTGCTTAGAGTAAATCTCTTCCTGGGAATTTGCTAATACACAATCTATGACATGAAGGTAATAAATTTTAATTCTTTAAAATTTTTATATCTGGTATAATTTTCTAAGTTGACTTATTTCTTCAGGAATATAGTTTCTACTGTAAACCTGGCCTGTAAATTGGATCTGAAGAAAATAGCATTGCATGCAAAAAATGCAGAATATAACCCGAAGGTGAGATTTTTCAGTATTCCTCTCAATAATTAGCTTCTATTTAGGTTCACCTTGTTTCAGGTGATCATGATATTGACATATTTTTGCTTATAAAAAGAAAAAAAATGCAAAAGTTTTTTGATGACTCAAAAGGTTAATTACTTCACTCTGCTCTGAAGTTATAAAAAAAAACCCAAAATTCTCATTCTCTGTGCTGAATAAAGCAACAGTTAAGTAGTTCCTAAAAGTTAAGATCTTTCCTTTGTCATTGAAAAAGATTTTCAGCCTCATTATTGGGACACTTTTTTAAAAGGCCATCTTGTTGGAAATAATATTTTCGAAGTATTTCGCCAGACACTGGTGTGTTTTTCTACTTAAGAATTTCTCTTGTTTGAGACAGCTAAATTGGTTCAAGTATAAAGTTTAAGCTTCTACTTACACATGTTAAGATTCAAGCATCTTCCCTCTCAACCTCTGACAAACTTTCCTCTTTGTGTTCTGCGGAAGATCAGGCATTCCATTGCCAATGTTCTATTTACCTGCTAAGTGGATTTGTTAACTTGACCAACATTAAGTGGTTTGGTAAACTCTTTACTTAGAGCAAAAGTGAGTGAGATCTGATCCCCAGTGAGGAAAAATCAGTCTATTCCATGACGGAGAATTTATGGAGCAAGATGGAAAAGGCCATATTAGTAAGAATCCAGAGGATTTTGCCATTATCAACAAATTCCAGATGAAGCATTTATTTTCTGTAGTGTCAGTGCTGATGCTGACAGTTGGATGCTGTTATCTGAAGGCTGAAGGTAACGCAAATGCAATGTAGCTTTTCTTTTCCTATTTCATGTTCCTGGCTATGAAGAGAACAGAAACACGGAGATGCTCTAAGATGCTGTAGCTGCAGCAATGACTGACCACCCTGTTGAGCAATCAGCATTTCAAATTTATTTCATCCTCTAGCATCCTTAGCTGTCTCTTCATTTTATTTCAGTGTAGATGATCTATGTAAACTTAGACTGACAGCAAAGAAATTCTAGCTTGTCACTTAAGCTCCCTTCACAATTTAACAAAAAGGCCCTCTCTGGTGGAGGACACAACGCTGCAAGCTGGCTGCAGCCACTTCAGTGTGAGTTCAACCCCCACCCGGGAGGTGACCCACATGGCGCATCAGACCTCTCCTGTCTCACCTACTGCTCCCCTCAGCACTGTGTTACTTCATCAATCGCCTGTTCTGCTCCCCACTCTGTCTTTGGTGAATCCTCTCACCACCCCTGCACCTCTGGCCTGTACCCCAGTTCTGTATGCATAAATCAATCATTTAAAAAAAAAATTTAACAAAACGAATACCAGCTGAGAATGCTACTTTTTAGTAAACAGCTGGAAAACATTAGTAGAACTTGACCAACTTGGTATAGTGCTGATTCAGGGTTTGCTGACTCTGAAACTGCCAGGTCAGCCTTTGCCCTGTTCCATAGGTCCAATCCACAAAACTTGTGGGCTGCCATAAAACCCACCCCAGTTTCCTTCACAGCTTACTGGGGGAGAGAAGAAGAAGGCAGTGTGTACAGAGCAAGTAAGAGGAGCAGGTCATTTCATGTCTTGAGCTGGTCCTTCTTAGCTACCCTCTGCATCAGCACAACCTAGAGAACTTGCTGATGGCTGCTGGTCTGTGGACTACACCTTGAGAACTATGATAGGCAAGAACTTGACATAGCAAATTTTTGTCTTCAGCATGCCTACCCATCTGTCTGTCATCTCTTTATCTATCATCTATTATCTATCTATCTATCTATCATCTATCTACCTATCATTGATCCATCGATCTGTCATCTATGTTGTGCTGTATATTTTTTACTGCTTGTTAGCACATACTCTCCCCTCAACCAAGTCTTTTAAAAGGTATTTCAAAGCAAAAAAAGACAGTGTCCAATTAGTTGAGGTTTTAAATCTTACCTTTACTGTTTCTTGTGCAGTGTTGGAAATTAAAGAACTGCTTAGTTTCTCCATGCACTAAAGGCGAACAACAGTAGACTCAATTGAGAATAAATAAGATAAAACTACTAAAGCTCCACTTAGCTTGGACCTGAAACATCACAAGTAATCAAGTCTGAGCTTTCCTGTTGTTATTTGTAACCTTTCATTCCTAAGTACGTTTTAGAATCATGGTCGCTTTTGTTGGTGAGGCTCTGTGTGTGAGAACACGCCCAGACATCTTTTCGTTGCCACATCCAATTTCAGTGTATTTGAGACAGCGTTCTGTCTGACGCTGTCTTTGCGTCAGAGTAGTTAACTCTGGCACAAGCAAATTTTGTTTGACTTCTGTGTACAGAGGTTTGCTGCTGTCATAATGAGGATCCGAGAGCCCAGGACAACTGCCCTCATATTCAGCTCTGGGAAAATGGTCTGTACAGGAGCTAAAAGGTATGAAGATCATCCCCTGTTCCCATCAGACAAATCATTCAGTATATAAAACAAGAAGGCAGGCATTAATGTTCTAAAACACAGTAGAACAGCTTGTTGAAAAGTTAAATTCATGAAATGTCAAATTTTGGGTGAAAAACATTTAGCCTCATAATACTGACTTATATCCCCCTTAACAGTATGTTTTAAGCCTGGGGAAGTAGATGACATGTATTTTCTTTGTAGGTAAATGGATCAAATTATTCAAAAGAGGGAAATTAGACATTTCTTAACCATTAGCTTAAAAAGCTAATCTTTTCTGGGCCATGCCATGGAAGACCTGTTGATGTAACTCTGTCACCCATAAAACTAGTGGAGAGTGATATTTCCCTCTAAATGTTAAAAGACGAATAGTAAATTGGGCCCTCTTTGGTGGTGCAATGGGTTAAAGCACAGTACTATGAAGCAATCCACCGCTACACAAGTTCAACCCCCAGCCTGGGAGGTGACCCACATGGTGCAACAGACTTCTCCTGTCCCAACTGCTGCTCCCCTCAGCAGTGTGTTTCAGTACATCCACCTGTTCTGCTCCATACTCTGTCTCTGGTGAATCCTCTCACCCTCCCCCCAACCCCCGAACCTCTGGCCTATACACAGTTCTTGTATGCATAAATGAATGAATTAAAATAAAAAAAAAGGTGAACAGTGAATTATTCTCTAAAAAAGCTGATTCCTGCTCCTTCTAGAGATACACTGGGGAGGCATGTCCTGGTCTCAAACCTACAGATAAACATAAACATGGTACAAATGGTGAAAACAAAGGTGTAAAGACCTCCCAAGTAGCATAGAGGACACAGTGATTAATTAAGATCTGTGTAAACACATTTGCCCCTCTCCAGTGAAGAACAGTCTCGACTTGCAGCAAGAAAGTATGCCCGGGTGGTGCAGAAACTTGGCTTCCCTGCCAGATTCCTCGATTTTAAAATCCAGAACATGGTTGCGAGCTGTGATGTGAGGTTTTCAATCAGGCTGGAAGGTTTGGTGTTAACCCATCAGCAGTTCTGCAGGTATGATTTTATATAATCTTACTTAACTTTGAATTAACTAAGACATTAAAATTTTACTATAGACTGCTTTTATAATATATCCATCAGAGAAGATATTTCTTTTTAAAGTAGGGAGAGGGCTAAAATGCTGTATCAAAGCCCTTCGTTACCACCCGTGTCTAATCTTTGAAATAGAGGTTCTCAAATTAAATTGCATAGTAATTACCAGCAGAGCTTATTGAAACATATTTCTGCTTGGGCTACCTCTCTAGAAACTGCACTTGAATTTGCAATTCCAACAAGTCACATGTGATGTGATGCCAGTGCTGCCAACCTGATTTGTAGGTTTCTTCCATGGGCACACTTCACATGGGGTGATGGCGATTGCTGGGAGAGAAGTGGTAGGGTGGCTCTGGGAGTTGCAAGGGGCTAATGAGAGGAGGAAGCTGTTGAGAGGAGCTGAAGAGTGGACGCCACAGTCCCTGCAGGCAGTTCCATCTAGTTTTGGACTGGTCACTGTGATGATTTTTTTGGGGTGTGTATGTAGATGCGACCCCCTCTGTAACTTCTCCCCTAGTGTATTCATGCTCCTTGAGGAAATTCTCTAACCTGCCTAACTTATTCGAATGTAGCTTCTCATCTCAACAGCGAATGCTGCTCCTCCTCTTCCTGCTTTGAAGCTGCTCCTGGCCACTGAGGCCCACGGAGCAGCTGCTGGTCACAGCAGATCCCTCCACCAGGGACACACACTTGGGCCAAGGCACTGGAACTGGCTTACAAGGACCACAGATGCTCTCTAGTTCTTCAATCTGGCATGAACTTAAAAGTTCTTTCACTCCAGCCCTCTTTGCCCCTTTGCCATTGAGCAATCGTGTTGTTTAATAGGTAGACAGGGATCGTGAAGAGGTGCTTTCTCTAACGTTTGTCAGCTTTCGCTTACAGCATGATCTGGAACAGAAGTTTAACACTGCTTTGTTTTTCCCTATCTTTAAAAAAAGACTTCACTTTTTTTTTTTTTAAGATTTATTTATTTATTCATACAGAACTGGGGTACAGGCCAAAGATGCAGAGGGTGAGAGGATTCACCAGAGACAGAGAGGGGAGCAGAACAGGCAGATGGACGAAGTACACTGCTGAGGGGAGCA